GTGAAGTGGTAGGGTGCAGTGTGATTAGGCAGATATTGCTGGGTACCAATATTAATTCTGGGGTAATGCATGTACATACAGCACTTTGCAGCTGACTTCATTTTAATATGTATAGAGCGTATGTTCTGACAGCTGTGTGTCATAACAGGATCCCATCTCTGTCTCACATGATTGATGTGCATCCCCTGAGACTGCTATCTTTCACCACAAACAGGTATTATACAGGTAGTTAGTGTGAAGGGGGTATCATCTGTTACAGGAAACCAAGGGGAAAAAAGCCAATAAACTGAAAAGAGTTGCTTTTATTTAAAAGCAGCAGGACAGGGAAAATAGTTCTTTAAAGGAGAACCTTTCATCTCACAGTGCAGGCTTAGAAGATATAAATGCTTCCCAATTTTCATATATGAATATCTAAATTCAATCTACAGACAGAAATTGAAACAAGAGTGGCCTGGTTTCCAAATACACCAAACACTTTCAATTCTTCTGGTCTCTCTTCTTTTTATATCACGCTGGCTTTTCAGGTATCTCTGTATTGCATATTGCAAGCTCATGCAAGCTTCTTTTATGCAATGTCCACACCGGCTGAACATGAGCCAGCTGCAGGCAGGATGCTGCCTCAATGATGGATCCTACACTGAAACATGGAACAGCACTTGGTATTCTAGTAAGTGCATGGAGAATGGAATCGTTTCTTGCAGATCAGCTAAGTCAAAGTTCAGAATAGTACCCTCTGTAGTCCTGTATGTTGCTCATGTGCCTCCCTGATTAAAGATGAGATTGTAGCATTTTATTTAAATACTGGATTTAGATTAAAAAAAACACCAAACCAGGAAGACTGTTGTCCTTGAATGCAACCTTACGTGAATTGGTGGCTATTGAACAACTAAGTGAATACTGTATATTGCCTTTTTTTTTTAACAAGACAAAACACATGCTACCGCCCCACACATGTGTGTGCACATGCAAACACACACACACATCCTCACATTCAGGTGTCTGAAGTATACACTGATGGAAATCATGACCTCTTAACCCAAACACTGTGGAAAGCACAAACCTCTGAACACAGCCAAGCCATCTGGGAATTTTCTGAAATGGCTCATGTTCTTCTGATCACACTCACATCCGACATGTTGGAAACAGGACTATACATACACTGCAGGGAAAAAAAAGAACACCACAAAAAAGGTTCTACCATTTCAATGGGAGGGACAGAGACAGAAAACTAGTTGGTTGGTTGGTTTTACTGAAGGAAGGAGAGGGAGAAGGAGGGAGACCAGACAGAGGGTGATTATCCAGCTATTCATGTAGGGAGAGAGTTACAGGTCTGTGTATTTAGCACAGTAAGACCTGGATAAAAAGAACTCACCAAAGAGGGATCCAGTACTACAGACTAGGCTGACCCTGACCAAGCAAGTGCTGTAATCAAAAAGCTATGAAAATACATCTGCTGTACCTGGTAATCCCTTAGGCACATGACTATCGGAGAGCCAAAATCCCTTGCTACTGTGAGATGACCCAACTCTGGTTTTGTTGGCCAAAAAGGATGTCTGGGAAAATGAGGAGATTCTGTAGCCAAAGTGGCATCACTGTTCTTCCCACTTCCCTTGGGTCCAGTGACCAACCCTATACAAGAGGAAGGCATCAGGGTAAAAACCCCTTCCTGGCGGGTAGCAGGTACCCCATAAGGCACATAAATTTGTAACACCTTCATCTTTTGCCTATCAGGATTCACATCCTGGTGAAACTTCTGAATTACTAAGGTGTTGCACCTGAAGTGCAAGGGTAACAGTAAACACCAAGGGACACATTTAACGTATTCTAGCTCAGCTGAAATAATGAACATTTACTTCATGAATCCCATTAAAACTAAGTGTGAGATATGCTAAGCAACTTAGCACTGTCAGAGTAGAGATACCATTGAGACTGTCCTGAAGCCAAGCTTTTAACACTAGGATACATTAATTTAGGAAAATGATTTATTAACACACAGATTCTAGCCATCCAGTGGGTAAGACTGAATGCAAACTGACTCAGAATGAGCGACTGCTAGGAAGTACAGACTTTTTTCTGCATTTCCCATTTGAAGCAGCCGTATGGCAGCCTGAATGTTTCCCAAGTGTCCTGAAACTATTATATTCTGCTAACAGGTTGACACCCATAAGCACTGCCAGAATTGCTCTCGTCTATCCCTCATTATTCCCACTTATAACCTACCAACTATAAGTACTTATTCTCTAGGTAATTGCTTCACCGTAATTCACTATTAACTCTGGCCACACTAGAATGAATGGATCTAATAGTAACAGAAATTAGAAAATAAAACCCCAGAGTAGGTACAGAGGATCACTTGGAAATCTCTTAACTTCAAACTCCAGCTAAGAAATCACTATTGAACTACTATCACTCACATCACTGCAGAAAAAAAAGTTTAAAAGCCCTCTGAACATGCTTGCCAACCTGCTTGGCACTGGCATCGCTAGTGACCTAAGAAATGGAAATACCCATCTTCAACTGTTAGCAACTTTTTTGTCCTCTCAAAATATACTGTCTGTCCTGAAGCTGAGCATCAGATAATCAAGACTATTAGACAATCGAGTTTGGTATTGACTGACAAGGCAACAATATTTCTATATTGTTAAGATATCTCAAAATCAAGGATTAAGAAAACCCACAGTATGTGCTGCTTAAAAAAGACTTAAGACATTCCACATGATGACTGCCATAAAAAGAAAATCACTCTGTAGTAAATCAGAAATACTGCTACAGAATGTTCATCTCCAATAAGAAGTAAAAGCTTCCTCTCTAAAAAAATAAATCTCATTTCCAAACTCAGATTCTTTGTGCTTATATTATCTCAAGCAGGACAGCAATTCTCAATTCCCTGTCTTAAATTAAAGTATGTCACAGGGCTCTTCCTCTGGACTAACCCAATTCCTCCTTGCAAACACATCTTCAAGAAGATAAAGAAAAAAAAAATTGACCTTTTTTTGTTGTTATTTTTGTCTTAAAAACCCAGAAGTACTGATTCAATACTGAACTAAGGGTGAAGGTCAATACTAAGCTGGGCATTTTGCAAGAAGCCCAGTGTGCAGATGAAACCCTCCTGCTCCATTGCCTGAACTTGCTGTCTCTGAGCCTCAGAGTAGCCCCAGCAACACCCATCTCCATCTCCTCTTCCCAATTCAGAACAGAACACTGCCTGCAGCAAGGCACTACATGCTGCTCACACCTATGTTTTCTGAATGCTTTATCAGCTCCTCTGTTATCATCCTTCCCTTCCACCCCAACACACAATTGACAATTGCTCCGTATTATTCCCCTTCTCAATTAAACTGTACTTATGGGTCATATTAACACTAAAATCATTATTCAGCAGAGAGGGCTCAACTGGCCACCAACAGAATTCTAGTCGAGATCCAATGTCAGTAAAATCTACTAATACCCATCTCATCAAAAGGCTGACCAACACTCTTCCCAAGCATGAAAAACACAACGTCAGAAAAACTAGCAAGCCCCCTATATACTAACAGAACCAGCCATGGTTTTTACAGCATTGAAGTATTCTATACACTGATCAAACAACACCAAGTACAATTGTTTCAAATTAAATCTTCCAAGCTTATAGAAAAGACTGTGATACTGCCAAGGCAAAAAGCACATTTGGTTTTTAGCTGATGACTGATTATTATTAGACATTCTGTACTAGATCTACGACATCAAACCTACATTTAAGAATTTTTAAAGATCTTTCCCAATGTTTCTGAGACACATTTATGGATAGTTTATGACTTTCCAGAGAAACTGCACCTCAGAATTTTGTTTCACTGACAAGAAATAAGATGTCAACTCTGTTTAGTTTTAATAGACATACTGAAGGTCAATATAGTCTGCATATTTAAACCTCTAGAATAGGCAAAAAGTGAAAAGGCAAGTAAATAATCTTAAAAATACCAGAACCCAACCATAAAAATCTATTGGTCATGTTCAGTGATGATAGCTTACTTTCCAAATAAAAATCACAATTCACCAGTGAGCAGAATTATTGAAGTAATGCTGTACTACACTGTTTTAATTTCAGGTATTTGAAAAAACAATGATACCATAAAATGACCTGGAGTGGTGGTGTCGCATAAATCTCCAAGCACTTTCCATGTCCTTGGATGCTCAAGCCTAAAATTGTTTCATCCTTTAGCTGACAGTGCACACTGTAAAAGTTGCAGTTTATCACTCTTCTTTCATTCTTCTCCAACAGTTACATTACCACATCCCTTTTTATTACTATCACAGGGTGTCACTATATAAGTGACATCATAAGGGGAGAACAAGGATTTGCCAGGAATAGTCGGAATTGCTCTGCAGTGCCACAGAGCTCTACATTTCAGAGAAAAAGGGACAGCCTTGCATTTTAGCATGCTGAACATGCGCTAGCAAATCTATTGCCTGTCACCACAGTCCCTTGGACTGGATAAATTATATCCCGCAGTTGGGTAGTACAAACGTAATTCTGTTGCCATATGTTGTGCCAAAGAGCTCATGCCGTGACAGGCTGCATTACAGATTATGCTTTCCCATGCGATGCTGATTTTGTTCTTCATCTGTGAGAGATAAACCTTGTCTCCTTTAAGATTTTGAACTATCCAAAATAAAACTACCTCCAACAAGATGGAGATGCAAATTTTGCTAAAATTAAAAAAAAAATACAAAAAAAGGAAATAAAATAATCATCAAAAAGGAATGAAAAAGACAGAAAGAAGAATAGCAGAAAAAGTACAACAATTTTTCAGATTTTGGAAATTACTTATCTTGCCCCAGTATACAGCCAGAATTCACTATGCATCAATCCCGCAGGAATTCCAGTTCCACCTCCAAGTTAATAAGTCAGAAAAAATAGAGTCAAGAACACTGTGATCAGCTTCACACATTTTCTTTATCAGACACACTGCAGTATTTCTGAGTTTCTTTGGTTGGCTGATTTCAAATGCTGGTGTTGGCAGCAGCTCACACATAGAGAAAAGGAATATCATGAGAGAAGAAATAAAATAGGTAGAGCCCCCCAGAGCATGTTTAAGAGATTTTGCTTGTGTGTTCAATTTATTACTGGATTTCATTATTTAGCAGAAGTGAACTGAAGTAGTTGATAACATGCCACAAATGATTTCACCCGTCAGCATCCAGCTTGGCTCAGGAATAATCAAAAGCCATTGTTGCATGACTAGAGTTGGACATCAGAGAGAAAGAAGGTCTGTTTGAAGTCTTGTTCCTGGGAAGGAAATGACCACATCATGGAAGTCAACTCAGTCAACACATGGGTTTCATCTCTGCTTGGCCAAGAAAGGTTGGACCAGATGATCCTGGAGGTCCCTTCCAACCTGGTATTCTGTCATTCTATGTTTCATAGGGCACAAATGAAAATAACTGCATTTTAGGCATACCTACAAAATATAATACGTGAGGGGAAAGAATGGACAGTAGGTACCTAAGATCTCACATGAGAAAAGCTACTCCTTAAGGCAAAAGTCTGAGGCAACGAATGCAGAGAAAATCAAACACTTGTACACTTTTTAAAGAATTAAATAACATACATTCCCTAATACAGTCAGTCTTATGCTGCTCAGAGCTGATTTGCTTCAGTAATTTAAAAAAAACCCAAACCCTCCTGGAAGAGAAAGAGACACTCGGAATGGGTTTTGCATAGCAACAGCCTTTCAAATGCAAAGGCTTGCTACACAAGAACATTCAGAGTCAAAGGGTAGGAAAAATCTTTACTGGAAATTCATTCAGAGTCACAGTCACATCAGTTCCTCATCCACCCATACATCAAGAAAGAGACTGAGATATTATTTCAAGGAATCATGCAGGAGAATGAACCCCAGCCCACACTGCAATCATCAAAAATGCTGCTGGCAGAAGTGGAAGTCAAGGAATAGCAAGCACATCTTGCCCACCAAAAGCAAGCCTAGGCCTGGTAGAACACTGACCCCCATGGTGATTTTCGTCTCTTACTTTTTTAAACAATGAGTTTAGATATTTGTTATGCCAGTAGGCAGTCTATAATCCTCACCCCAATTTCAAGGTTACTAGAACATACTCCTTCGGATTTAAGGCCTTTTGCCTTCAGCTAAAATAGAGCTTATTCTAATTATCTTCATTATAACTCCATAATTCAGGGCTCCCATGGGCACTAAGGGTGTAACGAGGACAGCATCAATTTTTATGTCCACTCACCTCTAAATTAGTATGAGCTTATTTCACTGGAAGACTGCGCTAAGTAAAATAAATTCTTTCCGCTCACTTTACAAATGTGTGGATGAAACTTTGTGCTCAAGTACATGAGTCTGTCATCTGCATTCCTGTTTCTCAGTGCTACATACAGCTTATGGTCCAGATGCTGTACATATTCAAGGCTGGTTTATGTGCTACTTTCATGGCCAAGTTGCCAGAATGGCTAGAAAGGTTTATGGCCACGTTAAAGAACATCCTTACGTAAAGTTATCCAACCTCTTACTCACTATCTAATAGCTCCTGGACACCACCTCCCTCTGTAAACTTTACAGGAGATACTCATATACAACCAGTAGGATCAAAAGCATCAAGTAGCCTTTTGCCACAAGAAAACACTGTGAAACCTTCCTCAGTTTTGCCCCAGGATTCCCAAGACAAAAGAGTAATGTGAGAATGGAAAAAGCCCTCAAGGTGAGGGGGAACAGAAAATTATTGTTTCTCTTCAGCTGTGAGATTTAAATTAAAAGAATAGACACCGGCCCTAGATGTGCAGTGTTTTCTAGCAAAGACACTCCAAGTTGTATAGACGCAGTTAATTACCACAGTGAATAATGAGGTAATGGCAGTATGGAGAGTATCTTGAGATGAAAAAGAACAACTCGCATTATGTTCAGTAAAGACTAAATCTATGATAGATCAATATATATGCATCAGCTAATCTCCTGTTCAGTTATTTAATATTTACTGTTTAGAACCGAGACTGAGGCTACTACATTTATTTCATATATGTAAGGCCTGTCAGACCACCTAGTGTCTGGAAAATGCTGTAAGTGAAATCTGATCAGATTTGTTATTTCAGTATTTCTCTTTTTTATTTCAGCATGCCTCACCAGTTGGCAATTACTTCCTACTGTACAACCTATTAAATATTCATGTCAGATATTATTTGCATAGAGCAGTTTTTCTCTGATAAAAAATACGGTATTTGTTCACTGCTCAGAAGATTGACCTACGGTCCCTACTTTAAACACACAGTTATATTGATTGTGAAAATACACCAGGAAAATTATGTAGTTTATATGCATGCATTATTTCTACCGAGTCATCCTCAAGCTTATAATTTAAGCCTCAGTATTTCAGGTAAAATGAAATTGCTTCACTAAGTAAGGCTGCTTTGATTTCAGCTTCGCTCCAAGCTTTGCCAGGCAAGCAGAAAATCTGCACAGTATGAAAGGTCTTGTTCATATAGAATGTATAGTCATGCATTGATAAAATCGTATGCATTCAAAACACACCATGCTTTTGTCCAAATATTGTTTTACAAAACCCTTTTTTTGAAAATGTAAATAGTTCCATATCCTATATTAATGGAAGATCATCATAAATGAACAATGAATTTAGACTTCCAAAGCACTGCTATGACTACTGCATTATACATAGCATACAAAGGACAAAGAAAACTAAGGAGCTTCCTTCAAACAGGAAGAAAATCCCCAAATGCAAAGAACCCCAAGCAACAACAGAAAGATAAGGTAACTGGATTTAAACTAAAAAGAAATGTACTGCTCCTCAGTGTGTCCCCTTGAGGAAGAAACTCTGAAATACCCACTTTTTAAAGTCTTATCTGCAGTTTACTTTGCTGCCCCTCTCACTAGACAGGAACACTTAAGAGCACAAACCGGGAAGGTGAAGGGGAGAAAAGAACAGAGAGGGGAAAACGAATGGACTGTTTTCCTTCCTCTTTTGTTAGCATTTGGCTATTTTCACACATCTAGCCACCAGCTAGTCTTTCCCAAGTCTTCTCCTCACTTCATATATTTTGCCTCCTTGCCTGTCACTCAAGTCTCTTGTTTCTTCCCCATTTCAGTCCTCTGTTTCAAAAGAGCACCATCTAGACAGTTATTCATCACAAATCAGAACAACGAGGAAATTTACAGTTCAAAACTTAGAGGAATGACATTATCCCAGCAGTGCTACTTGCTATGACAGGAAATCCATGTCCCAGTGAAGCCTGTTCACCTTATAAGTCCCACAGCTCAAAGCAGATTTCAGGTTGCGTACAAGCCTTCCGTTGCTGTCTTACGTGCAGATAAACTGCTAGCACTCTGCAATGCCATTTCATTTCAGGACTTGCAGGTCACAGTACTGCAGATGCAATTACAATGCTGAGGTAAACAATCTGTTTGAAGAATGGACTCCCTTCTAGAACTCTGGAATAGGCCTAACAGGAATCACGCTTCTCTAGGATGTGATATTCTCTTAAATCATAAAGCCAAGAAAAAAGTTCTCTGAAGACTGCTGAAGTTGGTATCCTGGGGCATACAATATTCTACAGGTTAGCCTGATGACTACACTTCTGTATTTACCTGATGTTCTCATTTAGTTCTGCACAGGGTAAATGTTAACCTCAGTGGAAACACAGGTGAATTCCTGCTGAATTCTATTACCTGAGAAACTCACCCATGCTACTGCAGGGTTAAGGGGTTGCCTGGCTTACTTTGCTTTCATTTACCAGTTGCAAAGGTTTTTTGGCCAACAATGGAGTAGGTTTGTTCCCCTCTCCAAAAGTAACTTCTAATACTGTGTTTCCATACTCATATATACCTTGTTTTCCTTAAACCCTAGTGATTATTCCATTTCATTAAAAAGACAAATAATCTACAGAATACACAGCCAATTTTCAATCTCTCTTTATAAATGCAAACAATACAGTAATGACTTGCTATCATCTGTACTCGCTGTGACATGGTAGAAAGCCAAACACAAACAACTGGGCTGGAAAAAAGATACAAAGCCTCTTAAAGGACTGTATAACATCCAGGAGATAAGAATAATAGGTAATAAGATCATTTATCTATTGACATATTGCACCCAATGTTAAAAGCCTATAACACTGGCTTTTAAATTTTGTTTCAAGACTTCCTTTCTTTTTAAAATGAGAATTAAACCAGCTTTTACTTTCAGTTTGCAGAACAATGAAACTTACTAAAAAATAAGGAAACCATACCCATCAACATGGTGAACTTGCAAGTCTGGGCTGTAGAGAGCTGTAAATCCAGCAAACAGAAAGATGGTGTGGGACTACTATGCAGACCTAAGTTACAAGCTGTGCATGCTACTGTTTTTCTGTAATTACCTTATATTTCAACAGGAAGACAGATGTAATGTCTCAAAGACGAAGGGTCTATCTGCAGCAATAGGCAAGGCAAGTTTGCTATGTGGTACCTTACTGATCTGCAGATTTAGACAACCGTATTGTTTTTCAGTATATTCAACAGGACTAGTTACTCCTCTATTAACTTTGGTGTTCCAGCATAGCAAAGTATATACTTTAATGAATGCTCCCCTAATGAATAAAATTCTTATGAGTGTGGAAAAAATCACTCTAACCTGTCCCATAATGTGGGTAATGCTTTTTCAAGACATGAAGAATTCTATACAAACAAATCAGTTTTTATTTTATCTTCTTGTTTCTTTCCACAACACCCAGAAATAGTCAAGAGTGGAACTAAACTTTTGCTACTTTGTGTACAGATTTTTACTATCATCCAGTAGAGGCTCTTTTTTCTTTATCAAATTGCTTACTTAACTGATTCAGCAGGAACACTTCCAGCACGTGGCCATTCAACAGATAACTACATAGAAAAGAACAAGCATACTCTTTCTAAAATGCTTCTTTTAATGGATCTGAAGCTTTTCCCCTCACATTCTTAAGCAAGCACATGGACATTTCCTACACTGTTTTTGCTATATAGAAATGCATCCCAAGAATATAAATGTAGTAACATATCTGTAAGAACAATTCACCTCTTCTGCCAGTGAAAATCTGGAATAATTCCACCGATGTTTCTGAAATTATCCTAGTGTCCAGAGGAATGAAGTAAAAGAAAATACAGAGCCTTTTGTCTCCAAGGTCTATTGCTATACAAATAATTAATTAGTGTAGGTTGTGTGCTGCGGGCCTTCCTGTCTGACCACTAAGCAATTAAATAAAGTGATTCTAGGAGCTGTAAGTGGCTGCTCCTGAAAACATACCAT